GAGTGCTGTACATGCTCATACTTTTCATGTTCATACTTTTCAGTTGGCCAACATTTCTATAAATCCTTTGTTTTTATTGGTCTTCAGTAATATTCTAATTTTCTGATATGATGAATTTGAGATTTTCATTTGTTGTCATTTGTAATCATCAAAATTAAACAAAATAAACATCTGAAATATATGAGTTTGTATGTAATGTATGAATATAATATACAAGTTTCACTTTTTAAATGGAATTACTGAAATCAATCTACTTTTTCATGATATTCTAATTTTATGACCAGCACCTGTATTCTAATCTCACATTTGCATCAACATATCCTCAATGTTATTTAGACCTCACCTCTGTTCTGGTTCCATTCATGTGCTGCTCCTAGAAGCCCTGGATCATAGCGGTAGCCTTCTTTTTCAGCAAAGTAATCATCTGTGCTTAGAATTATTCCACTTGGGCCAGATGAGAGTAGCTCTCTATAGTTGTTCATTTAAACAAACAAAATATTTATGTAGTTAGCAACTCATCTAAATACCAAAAAACATATTTATAAGTGAAATTACTCCTAGGAGCACCTGGCAAGTGTTGTTTTCCCAGATCCTGGTAACCCCCTCATCAAGATCAGTACCAAACCGTACCGATATTCACACCTCTCTTCATTGGAGTGGTAGCGACCCGGTTGTTCCCATGGTTTATTTTCAGAAAGAAATCTCTGCGGCCTGCCGTAGTCATTACCATGCGCCAATCCTTCTCTTTGGTCTTCAGGCCACCTTACAGCTACATCATTTGAATTTGTTTCATAGAAACAATGTTCATTCCAATCAAAGTGCTGCTGAGGGTTTTCGTGAAAGCTGTGAGAGGGAGGGGCAGATGCGTTTGGAGGTCGAAAGCTTGAAAATGTTGGATAATAACTATTTTGATGCTGGTTTGGGTTAATCTCGAAGGGTTCTCGAGTGTTCTGTGGAGGCGAGTATGCAGAATGGTGTGATTGGTGAGGGAATTGTGGTCTCTGAAATCTAGGATATGGTGGCCCATTTTGTGGATGAGTATAATCCCACTCATTCCCTGCACGCCTCTGATTTTTGAGCTGATATGGTTCATTTTGATCCCAATGAGCCCAACAGGATGTAGTCGTTCCACTGTTGCTTTGGTTACCATTTTTTTCTGCATAACTTTGCACTGAGATCCTTTCCCCATCAGGTACATCCTGGGAGTCTTTGCTGGTTGGTGGTTCACGCAGACTGTGGTTAGGCTGAACATCCTTTTCTAGATTATCCCTGTGCTCATTTGGTGTGTCAATCTTTTCAAGCTCTTTATAAAACATACTTAATGAGTCTTCAATGTCAGACTTGGCTGAGGGTGCTTGTGGAGGAAAAGCAGGACCAATGAAGGCGGTGCTGGTGAGTCCTACCTCCTTTAAAACCTTTTCCCTTAAACATTTATCTGGATTGTTGATCTCAAATTCAGTTTTATCTGAACTCTTTCCAGCATTTTTAGGCTTTTCTCCCTCACTGGGATCTCCAGAGACTTTGGGGCTTTTGGAGGATGAATAAGACTGAGACATCTAGAAAACAACATTTAAATACAGATAAATACCACCAAGTTAGAAAAAAATAAAATAAAATAAAAATATATATATATATACACACATATACACAAACATTAGCCAACCCAATACAAAAAAACAGTGTTATTTCATACAGAGTGATATATAATATGTCCAGCGCCTCTGTTAAAAACTTAAAAAAAACAGAATTCAGTTTCTAAGAAAACTATAATAAAATGTAAGATCCATCAAATATAATATTGACCACAAAGATACTATCCTAATATCAAATATTTCCATCCAATACACAATATGCAACTTTATGCCTGAGGTCTTTTTCTTCAATTACTCCATGAATGTAGTGTGGTATGCATGATCATTTTGAGGTTCTGCTGATGGGTTTAAAAACCAGCTTGGTTAAAATGAGCAAAAACTAGGTCTAGCTGAATAAATGATTTAAATCTAGTCAGCAGCAGGAAGCATGAAGTACTGTCAAACTTCCTGGAAGACTGAACCATAACAAAATATGCTGGACTAGGGCTGCAATGATTATTTTGCAAATAGAGTAATCTGTCAATTATTTTTTTTATTAATAATCCAAGGTTCCTTAGCGAAGGGTTCTTACAAAATTAAACCAGGTGAAACTACAACTTTTCTACCTTTGGGGTTCTGGATAGAGCATTTTGGCAGAAAGAAACATTTATCTTAAATGTAAAATGTTTATATGTCTTTTTACAATTTTTATATAATTGCTGCTGTAAGTGGGTCGCCGTCAGCTAAAGGGAAGGCATGTCTTAGAGTCTGTATACTCCAGTTAACGATTAATCGATTACTAAATTAGTTGACTGTTATTTCAATGATGGATTCATCACAATTATTCCAATTAATTGTTTCAGCCCTACACTGGAACATCCATATGTACATCTGATAAAGAGGACTGTGGATCACTAAACACATGTCCAACCCTTTTTATTTGCCAGTATAAGGTGCTTCTTGTGCAATCTTTAGTTAAGAAGTGGTTTTTAACACAAAGAAAGCAACAGCTGCAGCTTATGTCCCGGATATCAGTGTGCTGTGGTTCCTGATGCAGTGACAATCTTAAAGGCTGCAGTTATTCCTGCTTTTTGGGCACCTTTATCCATACCCCACTATTTCCTCTGTGTGCTTAGATATAACACTCAGCTATCTTACAGCTGTCCAGTGAATAGAGTTTACCATGATTTTATAACCTACAGCAACAAACTGGTTTATTTTTAGGTATAAGGCAGAATAATCTAAAGCACCAGAAAAGAAAGCTTAAAAATAATTTCTCAGCTTCTATGGAATACGTGAAGATTTTCAAAGTTTTCTTGAAATCACTCTCCTGTAAGATCTTAACTAATTAGGATACACCTGTGGTTATATCCGCCACAACCAAAAACAGAGAAAAACACACATTTAACCCTTTACAAGATAACAACCTGCTGCCCGGAACCATTAACATTTTATCAAAACGCTTTATGAGAAAAAAATAGCTAATATCGAAACTAGCAGTAACCAGTTACTCCTTAGCTAAAGCAGTACTAATACAATGGACAGATGATAAACTGAGTTAAAATCTTAACCTGTATTTCTCCTTCGGTATCTTACCTTACACGTTCAAAATACTGAAATGCTGCCAAACGTTTTAACACAGTAGGAAACCCTCCTGTTCAGCTTTTCAGTATGTTGTGTTTACGGAAGTGACGCAGTTCCTTTATCCGGTCAACGACGCGGCGCTGTAAGCGTGAGCGCCCCCTGCAGGACTAAAAAAATAACATGGGGTGAATGTTATAAAAATGTGTCCAGTAAACGGTTAAAAAGTGCAAGTGTGCTGAGATTTTCCAAGTACGACTCTAATGACAGTCATTTAAAGGTGTTCATTAAAGATATTGACACACATTTAAAAGTTAAGTATATATTTAAAATGAAAGAAACTTATGCATTTTACACTGTGCAGAATTATTAGGCAAATTGTATATTTTGAAGATTATTTTTATTATTGGGCCATAATTGTGTTCTCAATCAACTCAAAAGACTCCTTAATATCAAAGTTTCATATTTTTGGAGGTTGATGTGTTTTTTTTTTTTTTAGATTTGGCCATTTTATGAGGACGTCTGTGTGTGCTGGTAAATATTAATGTGCAGAATTATTAAGCAGAGATGCACACCATCTGATTTACTTAAATGATAGTTGGCTTTCAAGCCTATACAGCTTAGAGTAGGACATGTATGAAAGGGATGACGTGGTCGAAATACTAATTTGCCTAATAATTCCGCACACCGTGTATTTTTGCTTTTAGTGGTTCTTTAATAGCTTCTCAGCTGATACTAAGGTCTGTACTGTAAAAAAAAAGAAGAAAAAAAGACAAACTGATTAAATTAAAAAATTCCTTTAGTCAATATATTGTAGGAGATTGAGATTTTTAGTAACAGTAAAAATTGTGAAGGTGACATACCTCCTTTGCAGGGAGTTCAGGCTAAAATAGGTTTTATAGGTTCCAGAAGAGAACAGGAAGAGAGTCTGGATTTAAATCCAGCAATGGAAATATATATTGCTGCAAATTGCTATTTTATAACACTACCATAGTCCTTGAACTATATTTGCAATCAAAGTACCACCAGTACCTTTGGTGGTACTTTGTTGCAGTCTGCAATATACTTGAATATATTTTGGAATAAACTACAAGGTATTGGCATCAAACCCCATTTCACAAAACCAACAGGACTGGTTGATATGCAGTTATCAATTATTAGTAGTAATAAAAGGTAATGATGGACTTGCATGGATTTCTTGAAAGCTAGCAAAAAATCCACTAAAGGAGGTTAGTAAATATAGTCTGTGTGAATGTTCTGATACAAATTCTCAGAAATGCAAATACACAGTTCACCCAAACATAATGCTAAATCTTTCTGCTCCAGCATCAAACTTAAATCTTTTAACATCTCAATTAAAACTGAACACCAGCTTCCTTTAATCATACTGTAACCAATCCAAGGGATAAAGGTTTTCTTCACTTTTTTATGATAATGTCCAGATCTTGTATAAGAGCAGGTTTTGAAAAAAACAGTAACAAGGCAGTTCTTGAAAAAAATTGGAATTTACCATGGCAGCACTTGTGAGTAGCACAGCATGTATAAATTTACAATGCATTATAAACTGAAAATCAATGTGTTCCACTTTGATTTACTTCATAATCCTACAACAGACAGAAAAGGAATGTAGAATCAGAAGCAGAGTGGACAAAAAGTACAAATGTGCTTCAACAGCTCACCCTGTTGGGTGAATGTCATTCTGTTCATATTTACCCTGAAAAAATTCAGACGTAAATCAATGTAGGTATCAAACACCCAATAGGAAGCAGCCTGGTCCATATAGATCTTTCTAAAACCCTGATCAATTTACCCAATTTTTATCTCCTTAGACACAGAAACAAGGACAGAGGTGATGGGTTGATTTTATTGTGAAGAGCCATATCCATAGTTTAATATGATCAAGAACATGTCAAATACAATTTGTTACATGTTTTTTAGCAGCTTTCAATTTTCACATTACTTTCGTACAGTGTTTTAAAAGATGTACTGTTGTTAACTTGCATGTAAAATCTACAATAAATTTCCAACATGCAATTCCTGCGTATCAATCATAGCCAGTTCCTCATCGTTCACCCACTCATCCTCCACTAGAGAATCAGCCCGCTTCGGTTCAACAGTCTGTGCGGGTTTTAAAGTGCTTGGTGGCCCAGACCTCCGAGGAGGATTGAATGTTCTTTTCACACAAGGTGAAACTACTGAGCCAAGGGGGGAAATAGGAGGTGGAGAAGGGATGCGAAAAAGATAATCCAAAGCCCTTTTTCTTTTCAGGCTTTTAGGGTCTTTTTCTGTTGAAGATGTTGGTGCAGGGAGTTTACTGCTGACAGGTGTGAAGGATCCAAGGCTTTTACCTGGTTTCTGAAAGGTCACCTGCAGGAAAAAAGATGTTTTCAAAGTTTATTAAATACAGCAAAAGATGAAAAAGGTTGGTCACCGCTTGACTTAGCTTTAATTTTCTGAAGTAACCAACAGTTTTCTAGTTTAATGGGACCGAACACCTCAACAAATAATGAAAATAATGAAAGCTTTAAACCTTTTCATGAATAATATGAAAAGCACAGCCCAAACAAGTATTCAACCCCTTTAATCTGACCTCCTTAGAATAAGTGTGGCCAGTGTTTGACTGATTAACTGTTATAAAAAGGTTAATGTGATTTGCTTGTTATGTGCAATAATAAAGATATTATACATATCAAAAGCATCTCTGGTTTAAAGCAGCTCCTCACTTTGTCTTAACACCAGCAACAAAATGGCCACCGGCTGCCTGCTTGTTTCTTTTTACTTCCTGTATTATACTGTATTCACTTGCATTGTTCATTGTTTTTTCAAATAGAAATACTGGAATTATACAGTCGTTTCCTTTTTCTTGGAATAGTGTAGTCCTTTAAGTTATATTTAACTCAAATTAATTATCAAACACTTTACCTTTTAGAATTGAACTTCTGTAGTATTTTAAAGTTCAGATAATGAACTTTAAAATACAATGAAAGGTATCCAAGTTCTGAGTCATTTTAGGTGACATTAAGTAACTGCAGTTAATTTGCCTAAAAATTTTTCCTTTATTTGTTCAATAACTGAGTTACTAACTCAGTTACTTTTTTGGAGAAGTATATAGTAACTAAAACGAGTTTATTTTTTAAGTAATGCAATTCATCTAACTAAAATTAGAAAATAGAGTAACCAATCATAACCACATTAAACATGTGAAAAAAAATGTGCTCTGGTCAAATCATTTGGCCCTGCATACTCCACAAACATTGTGTGCACACCACCCATCCCTGACTACAAAACATGGTGGGGGCAGTATCATGCTGTGAGAATGTGTCTGTCAGGCAGGGTCAGAGAAGCCTTTTAAAGTTGATGGGAGGCTAGATTGAGCTAAACATAGACAAATCCTGGAAGATTATATGTTAAAGATAACAAAAGAACAGCCTAATATAGAGGTTCAAAGTAGTTTTTTTTTTTTCACCATAAGGAAAACCTATTTCTCTACTTCAAAATTGTGCACTTTTCTGTGTGTAAGGAAAGTAAACCTCCAATACAAATGAGCCTGGGACTGCAATGTGACAACATACGAAAAAGGAAGAATAAAAACTTTTAAAAAGCATAAAAACGAACTCACGTTTGAGCTTAAGCTTTGTCTTCTGTCTGTTGCAGAGCCTGCAGGTTGTGGTTGCAAAGATGGAGAGCAGACCGACTGCATGCCATCAGACTTGACTAACTGGGCAAGCTTTTCCTCAGCAGATGGACAGAAGTTGTCCTGACACTTTAAATATATAAACAAAAGTGACATTTTAAAAACATGGCTGTTAGACCAAGACGATGAAGCTAAAAATGAGAAAGCTCGAAAGATAGAGAAAATTTAGAGAAATAAGAAACAGTTTTCTAGAGCATTTCAGTTTCTAACACCATACCTGGACCAGGCTTTTGAGTTGCTGGAGGGATTCCTGTAGATGAATCTCCTTGGGGTTTGTGGAGAAAGCAGTCAGATCCCCAGCATACACCACAGGGGTAGGGTACATGGACTGCCCTCTGAGCTGCAGGTTGCTCAGTGCCAACAGGACACCTGGTTTTACCACATCTTCAAGGCCAGCTTGAGCCAAGCTGGTAAAACAGCGCACTTTCACAAAATTCTGCTTCCCGTCAACCAAATAAAACGCAGGAGAGGGACCTGTGGACAATTAAGGTATAATACAATTCAGTTAACAATACAGCTAAGAACAAGAAAAGAAAAAGACAACCAAACAAACACTAACCCTGTTGATCTATAACACTGATCACATATCCTACAAGATCAACTTCTCCACACAGGGGCTTGAATTCTTCATTTTGAAGATCTGCAAAGTCTGTAGCGACTCTTGGCTGGAAACGTGATGACAGCCATTCTGGGGACGCCTGAATGCAAAATTTAGTTAAAAATTGAAAAAGCTTTTGGTCATAAATAGATATAACAAATGATAATTTGAATATCGCAATACCGGCATTTCCTGGAACTGTGTTTTCTTTGTTCCGGTCAGCTGAACGGTTTCAATGGTGCTGCGGTTCTTTCCATTCGAGACGGCAAGGTTATAGACTTTGAATCGGCAACCTTCCTTCAGTAGAGACTGAAGATCAGAGGAAGGCCGCCAAAGGTTTAACTTATAAACTACAAGAGAAAAAAAATAAATAAAATTAAATTATACACATTAATGAGAAAGACAGATAAGATGTAAAACACCATAACAAGACCGACCACAACTGGACTGGTCCTTTGAGTCAGCGATGCAAAGTCTCCATACAGGTGCCACATCTCTTTTTGGACAGCTCATTTCATTGTCTTCTGCATCCAGAGCTCGGCGATATCTGTCCTGCAGCTCGGCCTGCTTCTTCTCCATCAGAGAACTCCTGTAGGCCTGAAGAGTCTCCATTTGTTTTTTACTTAAATGAGCCTAAAACACAAACAAACAAGTTGTTTGAAATTCACAGAGATGCAACTGAAATGTATACTTTGAAGTTCCCATTACCTCCAGGTATGCAGGGTCGTCTCCAACTGCTTCATATAATTCTACCCCTTCTTGCAAGTTTGCAACATCCTGCTTGCTGATTGTCTGCCTTCTGCGCTGAGGTTTCGCTCTCCCTGAAGGTGAAAACTTGTTAAACCTTTTCAATATATTTAACTTCGCTATTAAAAAGTGGAATTTAAACCTTCTACCTTCCTCCTCTTTTTCAAATTCAGCTTGAATCTTGGCAAACAGCATCTCCATCACTTTTTGTTTGTGGTGGCTGAATCTTCTTGCCTCCTTCTCTTCTGCCCGATCCGACCGAAACATAACACCACCATCTGATTTCCTCTCCATCCACTTTAAAAATAAAAACATACATTCAGACGATGAACGCAATGGAGGATCCATATAAATAGTGAGTTCTCTACACACCTGCATTGGGTAGCTTCTCAGTATAAGAACATCAACACATCCTACTAGTCCACCATTACTGAATAGGCAGGAGATGGGGAGCAGAAATGGTCGAGGATCTTTGTGAAATCCCAGCTTAGCGTCCCACCGCGCTCGCCTCGTGCTGTTGGCGCATATCTAAAACAAATTGCATGTTATGTGGTCTGGGGAAAAAAATGAAAAACATGTATCCTCTCCCTGTAAATACCTTCAACATTAGAGAGTCCGGTGCCTCTAAAGGAGAGCAGGCATCTTGTGATCCAACCAGTTGGGCTCCGTGGATCATCAATTTGCCACCGACAGCAAGCCGGCCTTTGTGAAGCATTGCAGTCAGAGGTTCATCCAGCTGTGCTTTGATGGCATACCAACCATCTGTCAACCAGATGATGGCTGATGGATTGTTTTCAGCACTTTGTGTTGTCTTTGTGTCGCTGCGGCTCTGTGCGTTTAGCAGGTGACCTCTGGAGACGATCTCACAGACACACAGAATAAGAGTTTTAGCTGGTGCGTCGTCCCTCTCCATGATCTTCTTCAGAGCTGGCCTGCGGCTGTGGTCCACCTCTACATCATATCTGACATAAAAGGAAAAAAAAAATATATATATAGATATTGCAATGGTATAGTTTAGTGGGTTTTTTTTTGCAGCTTAACAATACAGACTCAGATATCTCATGTTACATTAATCATCTTTAGCAACACACTGTAGTTAAAGAGTAAGCTTATCCAATCCTTAAAGGATCTTGAATGAAATAATCTCTAATTTGCCAACTAGTATAAATTAGCTCAATCAGACGGCACTGCTTCTCTTTTGTTCTCCTTAAGGGAGAAACAGGAAAAACTCATCTTTATATCGGCCGTCTCTTCAGCCCCGTTTAATTTGTTTCTCGAAAAAACGGACAAAAATCAAACCGTATGGTGGCTGGCTTCCTGCGTGCGACAAAACAGAGTCGCACGCAGGAATAAAAACCTCGTCCCTGTCTGCATGCAGAAACTGTGGGCTCTCCAACCAGCTTTATCCTAGTGAGCAGTCTAATTTTTGAAGGCTTCTGCGCAGGACCTTCAATAACTACCCACACAGGTTCGCACGACTTCTTTTTTTTTCTTCTTAACAATAATTGCAATCTAGTAACTGCAAATGTAGCTGTCCGAACTTTAAGGATATGAACCTGTACTTCAGCTGCAGGAGAATCTGCTCTGGAGTGAGGCAAAGACTGCCCATTTTTTCTGGAAAGGATTTCTCCATGGAGGCCTGCTTCCACACAATCCACCGGTAGTGATTGTAAACCCACTGCTCGGTGATCAGTTTGGGATCCACACCGGGCGTATCACATAATGCTCTATGGAAAACAGTTCAGCATATTAAAGCAGTGAATAGGAGTGTGAAAATAAGTAAAAACAATGTACTTTCATGACTACCTATAGAATTCTTCTTTTCCCACCGTCCAGTTGTTGCTGGGGATCAACCAGCCTCCGTCAGCGAGTTGAACACCGCCTCCATCTGTTATCATTTCCTGTTTGACGAACTGCAGCAAGTTGAAGCGAAACGATTCGGCGTTTGCTCCGGTGATCTCAGGAACATGCTTGTGGACTCCGCACTCATACAACTAAAGCAGAAATGTATAAATATAAAGGCGTTGCTTATAGGACAAAATGTAACTTGTAAAGAGGAAAGCTCAGAAGCTGTGTATGTTTTGGCCTTGCCTCTTTTGCAGAGCATCTGGTTGGTTTATTTCCATTTACTGCCACTTTTAAAGGGATTCTCAAAACTCCTGAGGTTTTTGTCAAAAATAAGCTCCCAGGGAGCGGTCGAATGGTCTGCCGCTTCTTTTTCCTAATCCTCATGTCCTGCATATCCCGGGCCAACATAATATTCTCTGTCCTGTCTATTGAAAGAGACTATGATTATACCAATGTTATATAGGATATCTGGGGCTTTTTACACAGACTTTAGTTTAAATGATGACCGTACCTTGGCTTCTGGAAAGCATGTTGTCCACATGTGATGTTTCAGCAGCGCCAACTGGCTCCTCGTTTTCAGGAACACTTGGAATCATCACATTAGAGTTTGAAGACTTCATTAAAGGGACAATATCTGTAGAGCTTGGGGTTTTCTTGGGAAGTGGTGCTTCGTTGTTGGTGTCACTCCCCTGTTGTTTAGGCAAGCTCACTTGTAGGACAATTCGTTGTTTTTTGAAGGGGGGAACAAACACAGGTACTCTTTTGCGGTCTCCGACTTCTGGATTATTGGATACAGCTCTCTTTGCGCTTTTGATAAATGGAGGAACAAAGGCTTGCATCTTGGAGGATGCCGATGTACGATCTCCTGGGTTTCTATCTGTTGTCCTTTGGTATAATAATTAATAAAAATAAATGACAAGGATCTGTTAAAATCTATTTGCCATTTGGAATCACAACTTCTAACATCTAATACAATATACCTGTGAGGCTTTGTGATGTGTGGATGAAGAGAGGTATTGTACTTGAACACTCCCCTGTCCATTAAACCTTGATGAAACGGGTAAAATATTATTAAAATGGATTACTTCTATTTACTTGTCTCAAAGTAAATATAATACAAGAGAGTTACCATTTGGAGAGCTTTTTATGGGGTGAAGCCCTGAACCTCTTGGACCATCGGTGGTTTCACTGAATTCCTCTAGTAATCTTCGTTTGGAAGGGGGCTGAGCTATATAAGAAAGGCAGGAAAATGATTTCAGATTTTTGTCTGCCACTGCTTCGCAAAGATCTTACATTTTGGTAAATAAAAATGGAAATTTTGATCTAAGAGCAGAATCTATTAAACTATACTTATAATCAAGGGTTTTTCCTTATTTAAAATCGTAATGCATGTAGAAAGTATAATAAACTAATAGCAGGAAAATCAGTTATTACATAAATTATCAAAGCAACTAAGAAAAGATTTAATGTGTAATACTTGCCAGTTAGATCTTCAGCACTTCTAGTTTTCTTCCTTTTGGCTTCTTCGGTAGATTTGCCATTTGATTTGCAGTCTTCTGGTATTTGGAAATGTTCTGAACCCATCAACAAGCTCTGGCCAATCCGAACTTCATCATCTAGTAAGGCTTTTGTACAATCAAAAGCTTCCTGAGCAAAAATCATTTGTTGGGTTTCTGTACAGCCAGCGAGGTTCAATGACTGAAATTCTGGGCCTGTTGTCAGAACTTCAGATCTCTTGATGCTGTTTTTAATGTCTAAATCACAGACTATCATGCATGGCTTTTCTTCATGGTCACTTCCAATGTCTGCTGCTAAAGGAAAAGATTGAACCGCTGAGTGGTTCTTCCTATAACCACTTCTTGGGGGAGAAATGGGGTTTAAAGTTCCTTCAGTATATTTTACATGTGATAACTCTGAATTTATAACATTTGTTACCCCTACATTTGTGAGAGCACACTTCATTTTTTCCTTTTTACTTTGAGCAGTTGGATATGGTAGAGCTGTTGTGACACTAATGTCGCTACAAAGAGCCTTTGCTTTCTGTAAAGCCTCAGACGAAATTGCCACAGGTTTACCACTTGCTGAAAAAAATCCACCATTCATCAGACCTGGACCTGAAACGGGGGTCTCAGAAAGTTGGGACGGAGCACAAATCCCATCATCATCCACTTTGTTTTCACTCAGCAGCTTTGGTCTTAACAGAGCCTCACATGAAATAGCAACTGTGTTCCCACTGGCTGGCTGAAATCCACCATTTTGTCCTGGCATTGAGCAGCCTTCTTTTTGGTTAGCTTTAATTGAACTGGATTCAGGTTCTTCACAAATACCAGCAGCTTGCTTTCTATCTGGTTTGAGTTGGGACAGGTTTCCCGTTATGCTGCCACTTTCCTTAGTTGATACTTTATTAGTTTGTTCTGATGATGCGTCACTGTTACCGTCCAGGATCCAGCCTTCATCATCTCTGAACGAAATATCTGTATCTTGCATTGCTTTTGTTAAACCCAAGTCACTGACTTCTTTGAAAAGGATTTTTGCCTTTTGAAGATTTTTCTGGGAAACATTGACTTTTTCTCCCCTTGCTGTAGTAAAACCACAAAATATTTTCTTAGATTTGTTCTGATCGTCTTGTTTGTCATCAGTTTTCCTTGTCTGTAAAACATCTGGGACTTCTGCTCTGCGGGTGATATTAAAGAGGGATTTTGGCTTTTCAACCTCCTCAGCTGGAGGTGCCATTGGTTTACCACGGACAGAATGAAATCCACCATTTTTGAGCGGAGGAGCAGTAGCCTCGAACTGCAGTGTTGTTGAATTGTTTTCACTCAGAAGCTTTGCTCTTGACAGAGCCTCACATGAAACAGCAACTGTTTTCCCACTGGCTGTCTGAAATCCACCATTTTGTCCTGGCAATGAGCAGCTTTCCTTTTGGTTAGCTTTATTTAAACCAGACTCAGGTTCTTCACAAAAATCTGCAGTTTGCTTTCTATCTGGTTTGAGTTGGGACAGGTTTCCCGTTATGCTGCCACTTTCCTTAGTTGATACTTTATTAGTTTGTTCTGATGATGCGTCACTGTTACTGTCCAGGGTCCAGCCTTCATCATCTCTGAACGAAATATCTGTATCTTGCATTGCTTTTGTTAAACCCAAGTAACTGACTTCTTTGAAAAGGATTTTTGCCTTTTGAAGATTTTTCTGGGAAACATTGACTTTTTCTCCCCTTGCTGTAGTAAAACCACAACATATTTTCTTAGATTTGTTCTGATCGTCTTGTTTCTCATCAGTTTTCCTTGTCTGTGAAACATCTGGGACTTCTGCTCTGCGGGTGATATTACCAAAGAGGGATTTTGGCTTTTCAACCTCCTCAGCTGGAGGTGCCATTGGTTTACCACTGACAGAATGAAATCCACTATTTTTGAGCGGAGGAGCAGTAGCCTTAAACTGCAGTGTTGTTGAATTGTTTTCACTCAGAAACTTTGCTCTTGACAGAGCCCCACATGAAACAACAACTGTTTTCCCACTTGCTGTCTCAAATTCACCATTCTGTCCTGGCAATGAGCAGCCTTCTTTTTGGTTAGCGTTATTTAAACCAGACACAGGTTCTTCACAAACATCGACAGTTTGCTTTTTATCTGGTTTGAGTTGGGACAGGTTTCCTGTTATGCTGCCACTTTCCTTATTTGAAACTTTATTAGTTTGTTCTAATGATGCATCACTGTTACCGTCCAGGGTCCAGCCTTCATCATCTCTGAACAAAATATCTGAATCTTGCATTGCTTTTGTTAAACCCAAGTCACTGACTTCTTTAAAAAAGATTTTTGCCTTTTGAAGATTTTTCTGGGAAACATTGACTTTTTCTCCCCTTGCTGTAGTAAAACCACAACATATTTTCTTAGGTTTGTTCTGATAGTCTTGTATGTCATCAGTTTTCCTTGTCTGTGAAAAATCTGGGTCTTCCGCTCTGCGGGTGATATTACCAAAGAGGGCTTTTGGCTTTTCGACCTCCTCAGCTGAAGGTGCCATTGGTTTACCACTGACAGAATGAAATCCACTATTTTTGAGCGGAGGAGCAGTAGCCTCGAACTGTGGTGTTGTTGCATTTATTTTATTCTTAATTTCTTCAAACTCATTACACAGGCTTTCTACTCTCTTCAGAGAGTCAGATGATACATCGGCTTTCCTTCCACTGGCTGCCTGTAACCCATGGCTTGCTTGTGGCAAAATGTTTTCCTTTACTTCCACTTGTTTTTCTGCACCTCTTGAACATCCAGCCTTCATAGAAATGTTTATCTTTTTTTTGTCACCTGGATAACAATTGTACAATTCTGCCTGTTTGCTCCCCCGCACATTTCCCTCATCAAAAACTGAAAACAAACCTTCTTCATCCACTGCTTTGGTTAAATCCTGATCATCAAGTTCTTCAAATTGATCTTTTGGTTTTGGGAGATTTTTCTGTGACACCTGGTCCTTTGTCCCCCCTGCAGTTGTGTAACTGCAGAGTTTTGTCTCTGGTTTCTCAATTCTTCTTACAGGAACAGTTTCTGACACATCATCCATATTCAAACTACTGTCACTAAATAAAGCCTTTTCCTTTTCCAAAGCCTCAGATGACAAGAAACCAGGGTCATCACTGGCTGCAAAAAAGCCAACACTCCGCGGGTCATTTCCTGGGATTTTGGACTGATTTGCTCTGATTTTATCCTCTGATTTTTCATGTTCTTTTGACAGCGTGGGTTTCTTTAAAGTTGCAAATTTTCTCACTTCAACTACAGTTTCAAAACCGCCATTATCTATTTTTGACATCACATTACTAAGACATTCTGTTTCTGATGTCTTTTTCTTTTGATTAGGTTGTTTGTTTGTCTCCACAGGTGTGTCAATCTGATTTAAAAGAGATGCAGCCTTCCTCATTGCAGCAACAGACACACTAATGTTCTTCCCAGCAGCTGTACGGAACCCGTCACTTGTGCACAGGTCTTTTGAGGCAGACAAATCAATGCTCTTAGATGTGCCTAGAATAGCAGATGGCTTTGAAGTTGAAAATGGCTTTTTTCCATTTTCATTTTTCAGAGCTAGTGTGGACATGCTGTTTATTTCCACTTCATCCCGATGTAGCCCACCTGTATGTGCAATCAATGTTGAATTTTCATTTTCAAATTTAGAGCATCCAGCAAAACCCTCCTTATGAATGTTGACCTTAGGGCTTTTAAAGTTTGAAAAGCTTCTCCCTCTTTCAACACTTTCTGGAGGAGCTTTTGTGCTCTTCTCCTCTTTATGCTCTATTACCTGACAGTCTTTAAATAACACATCTGCACCCTTCATGTGTTTAGCCGATATTGAGATTCCTTTCCCGATTTCACACTTCGCTGCGTCAGTTTCACTGCTTTCAAGGACATTCTTATCTTCAACACTTGATGGATTTTTGTTTGAACAGCGGATCTCATCTAAATTGGAAAAACAATTCTCACTTTTGTTACCTACATCACAGCTTTCTTTGAGGATGAAAGAATTGTACTTGCGGATGTCAGAATCCACGTCACATTTCTGTTCTATTTGGGCAACATTTTTTGATTTCTGCTTATCAGCCCGTTTCTGTTCTGTCAAGTTATTTTCCAGCTCTGCAAACAAAGCTCTTGCCCTGCTCAGACTCTTTTTAGAGACCTGCAACATAACTCCTCCAGCTGTCTTAAATCCCTGACCATGTATCAAAGTACTGTTGCTCTTCAACTGGCTGGCTTTAGTATCCTCAGCTCTGGGAAAGATATCACTTAACTTTGGGCATTTCCCCGTCTCAGAAATGTTTTCTGACAAACAGGAGTTTTCCCTTAGCGAGTTTGACATAGACAAGTCTGTGTATAGATTTATGCCTTTTGCTGTTTCTCCGTTTGATAAAGCCAAGGCCATATTGTCATTCATCACAGCGACTCCTGGGTGCTTTCCACAATCAGAACTAAAGCTGTCATCAAAGTCTATGTCTTGCAAAAAAGCAGGGTCAAGATCTTTTTCCTGTCTTGGTGAAGCATGGAAATCATATTCACGATTCGGGAGATTTTTTGCAGGTTTGAACTGTGTAAATTCAAACTGGCTGTCCGCCTCCTCTAAGAGACAGCAAAGTTCTGTCACATCCGCTTTTTCTGACGCCGTTAAATGGGAATTGATATTTACAAATGGTTTTTCTACTTTGGGTAACAGATTGGAATTAGATGGCTTGGGTTTCGTTGTTTCAGGAATTAAATTCCTTTTATTATTTTTGGCATATGGGGTAGTGATGCTAAGATCATGAGAAGTCTTTTCACCATCAGCCTCTTCGAAAAAACGTTTTCCTCTCTCCAGGTTGGCAGGGGAAATGTGTATGCCTTTATTTGAAGCAGTTTTGAATCCTGATGCATTGGCAAATGGAACAATAGAAGCTTTTTCCAGCTGGCCGCAGTTACTTTCATCAACAGTTTCTTCTCTACTCCTTGAATGCCCTGCTGATGTGCTCTCTGTGTGCAAATCGATTCCTTTTCCAGTATCCAGATTTTTCTCTTTGGTAGATATGTGCAGAGACACTTCAGCATTAATCGTTGGATTTCCACTTTCATTTGATGATGGCAAATGATGCATATCCGTTTTAAAGCCCAGCGACGGTCGACTTTGGTTAAAGTTCTCAGAACGAGGAGGACCAAATGACAAGGTGGTCATATGAGTGACGTCTTTCACAGCAGACTGGACTCTGCTGTCAATCATGGTGCCTTCACTGACTGAACAAGGTTGGTAAACAGTGGGTACTTGCTTGTTGGCACTGATGTCATTGGGAGGGTTTGCTTGATTTACTTTTTGTTTAGCTTGCTTCATGGCAGTCAGACATGCTGCAGGAGAGAAGTTACTCTGAGCATCCTCTGCAATATGTAGGTCAGTCATTTGGCTGAACTCCTTTGCAAATTCTCTGCAAAGTTGAGACATATCAACATCCTGGAGTTTTGGGACTGCAGAGTAAGTTGAGGGTTCTCCTAGACATTGTTGAATCTTCTGACACTCAACTTTGCCTGTGGTGTTCTTCAATGTCTTAAGAGTTGCTTTTTGTGCTAAATAAAAGCAAACAAAAAAGGAAAAAGTGCAATCAGTAACAGTTTAGAGTGAAATACACTATACATTTAACCTTTCACCAATTTGTGCCTACAATTTACAACCATTTAGACCTTTGTTTAACTTCCATTTTGCACAAAAGACCAAACTTCGACCGTCTTCTTGATTTTTCCTTTTTCTTTCACTTAAAAAAAAAATCCAAAACATTTTCAGAGAAAATAAAGTTAACCTGAGTAAATTCAAAATCTCATTTTAAAAATATTTCTATATTTAAGAAAATAAAATCAATCCTAAAAACAAATCCATATAAGAGTATACAATTAATCCCTCCACTCCTTAATTCTTGAACTAACTGATAATCCCTTTTTTTGTTAAACCCCATTAGGCAGTTTTTTCAGTATTTTAGTCATAAAATCACATTTCTATGCACGAGACTGAGAACAATATTGAAAAATTACTTAAAATTAACAGCTTTCAAAGCAATATGTGTTAGGAGTGAGGCATAGCGAGTATGACACATTAAGATGGTGACCTTAAACAGGTACAAAATGGGGAAGATACAAAATGCCCTGCAAACATGTAAAAATCCATATTCTTACTCTTAAAATGAATATTAAATGTTTTACCATATTCTGAAATCTTTGTGGAGGAATCCATCTTCTGGGACTCTGAGTCTTGGCACTTAATTTGCGATGTTTTTGTTGCAACAGTGTAAACAAACTGTCTCCTTTTTCGAATAAATCCAGTGTCTGTGACTTTCAATGATGGTCTTGAGTGTTGGACAGAATCAGTGTCACCTGGCTGTGTCATACTGCTACTCACAGCACAAGATGAGATTTCAGATAAATTTATAGGAGACCACTGGCTATCTCCAGTTTTAACTAATGGGGTTGCAGGTAATCCTCCAGATTCCAAATCAGTGGTAGCCTCTTCACTAGATGCACCATTGTCGGCTTCTGATACAGCCTGGTGGCTGCAAGCGTCTTCATTGGTCAGAGTTATTTGCTTACATTTAACTCTGTCAGGTTTCACCTTTCTCAGAGCTGAGCTACTGTTTGCAAAGAAATGGAAGTCAGAAGAAGCATTTTTTAGCCCAACTGCACCAGAAACTTCTCCTTTAACAGTATCTGGATCTTTCTGTTGCCAATGACTTCCACTCTGGTCCAATGGAGAGTCAGGGAGGTGTTGAGCCACGGGAAAAACAACACCTATTGATTACAAAACAACAAACAGTTTGTATTAGTGTGGCTCTGTGAAACCATATTGAAATGCACCTTATGTAATCTGCATTTATTTTCTTTATAAAAATGACTATAATAATTAACTACTCATGGGCATATTGTGGGGGGAAAAAAAGAAGTTATTACCTTCAGAATTAGAAGACCCTACACTCTTTTTCGGGGTTTTAAGTGAGGAATTGGAAAGTGAAGGGAAAAGCTTCCGGACCAACTTTGAAAGTAAGACAAAAAGCAAAAATTCAGAACAACGCAATTTCATTAATAATAAATTAGGATAATAGGATAATTGCTTTTTATTTGCCAGTATGCTGTGAAAAAGAATAGCTTATTATAAACTACTATATTGAGGGCTAAAGAATATTAAATGATTTAACCCTCAAAACCCACAACAGGCTTCACAATGTTTACACAAATGATAATCATGCTGGTTTGAAAAGATGTTAAGTTAAAAACTAGAGAACAATTATTGTTAAACACTCAGAATTGTACGTTTTATGATTAAACTTTACTTATAAATTTCCATATCAGGATTAAAAGGTGAGAGTACCACAAATTGAATAAATGTTTTCATATTAAAGTGATGAAATGCAGCCAGATTCCTTGATGTGTAGTCGAATTGATTACTGCAACGGTGTTTTCACAGGTCTACCTAAAAAGTGGATCAGACAGCTGCAGCTTATCCAGAATGCTGCTGCCCGTGTCCTCACTAAGACTAAGAAAGTACAGCACATCACCCCAGTTCTAAAGTCCTTACACTGGCTCCCTGTATCTCAGAGGATAGACCTAAAAATACTTCTGCTAGTCTATAAATCTCTGAATGGCTTAGCACCTAAATACATCACAGACTTGCTATCAGTGTATCAACCCTCCAGACCACTCAGGTCTTCTGGCTCCAGCCTGCTCTGCATACCTAGAACCAGAACTAAACATGGAGAAGCAGCATTTAGTTCCTATGCTCCACTTATCTGGAACAACCTTCCAGAAAACTGTAAAAGTGCGGAAAGCCTGAGTTCCTTTAAATTAAGACTAAAAACACATTTGTTTAGGAGTGCCTATGACTGTTCTAGTTAAACAGTTCAACTAAAACATCATTAGTTCAACTTTTATTTTCTTTAGTCCAACTGTTTTAAAAAGTCATTTTTTTTCTGCATTTTCAATTTAATTTAATTTTTTATCCTACTTGGTTTGATTCTGTTTTATTTTCCTGTATTTTAATCATGTAAAGCACTTTGCATTGTCTTTGCACTGAATTGTGCTATACAAATAAATTTGCCTTGCCTTGCCTTAACAGACTAATGAGTCCACAAGGGACTTTACACGACCTGAGTGTCTAACTTGTCTCTTAATCTTTTTTTTTTGTGCACAAATCTAGATCAGATTCTGAGGGCTTTTTAAATCCAGAACTTTTCAAATGTTGCATTATGTGATTTACAATAACTGATTACTTCAGCTGTACATAATTAAACTATGTAGGGTACTCACAACAACATTTCTATCTGCAGTGACACTCGCTGGACATGGACTCTCTTCAGTTTTAGCTGGAACATCAAAAAAAGAAAATATGTCAAATTAACCAGAAATTTAGAATAATACATGCCACGTGTTTCAGCAACTCACATAAAATCAGGGTAGATGGCATTGCTGGTGGGGTATTGAAAGAACTGGTCCAAGAGATATCTGGATTGATCTGTGCACCGAGACTTTCAGAAATATGCTTGACATAGCTGTCCTGTTTCATTGAAACAAAAAAAAGGAACAAGTTTCATTATCTATTACATTAGACTGAAATTGTATTAATGTTTTAAAAAAACTGGTAGATTAAAAAGTACTTACTGGGGATTTCTTTGGGGTATCAAGAAGATCTGCAATAATCAAACAAGAATATCTATCAATGGTGCTTATTTCTTAATTTCTTTGTTTATATAAATTAAAATATGTTTCTTCTTACCAAAACTCTCCTCACCCTGAGGTTGGACACCTTCACATTTTACATCCAGGACACTAAAATAAACAGAACCAGTACAATAAAAAATACGTTAAGTTAGACAGAAGAGAGCTTTTTAAAACACTATCAGTTGCAGCATGATGGAATGAAGCTTTCATTTTACTCACCGCTGTTTTGTTGGCTCAAACAGACAGGGACTCTGAGTTGTCACCCATGGTGGCGTTTCTTTTCCTAAAACAAATGACAGAAACATGTAGATTTTAGAGTTTAAACTTCATAGAGGTTTGTGTTAAGGCCTTTATTAATTAGTTTAAAATGAACAGTCTTAATTATTTAAATGTAAGCAGTAGGGATGCACGATATAATCGGCCCCCTATCGGTATCGGCCTGTATCGGCCTTAAAACTGAATATCGGACATCGGCCACCCCACCGATATTTAACCCGATATTTGATCAGCTTCTGAGTTTCTAAAGTCTAAAAAAAAAATTAAATAAAAAAAATAAATACTACTACTTCTTCCTCAAAAACTTATTTTTTACAGACTTAAAATCTTCTAAAGACGAGGGAAAAAATATTGATACATTAAAATATCACAATATCTTCATATGCTGATATATTGCCATTTAAAAACACCATATCGATCTCTTTTACTAATAAAATATTGCTATATGTCATCGAAATTTTGCCATATTTTTATATGTTGATATATTGACGCGGTATCGATCTATTTTACTAACAAAATCTCACAAGAATTTGCTAAATATCACGAGAGTTTGTAACAGAACGATGAAATTTCACGAGATTTTGAAAGTAAAATAGATCGATACCGCGTTTTTAAAAATCTATTTGATATCAGCATATGAAAATATATTTGAGTATATTATTTTTGTCAGTGTCAGAAATGGATAACAAAACTGCTATTTTCAATGACTACTTATTTTTGTCCAGCTTTAACATCGGTATCGGTTATCGGCTACATGAGTTTTAAAATATCGGCATATCGGATATCGGCAAAAATCCCAATATCGTGCATCCCTAGTAAGCAGAAACAGTACCTTGGGCAGCTGTGAACGATGGCTCATCTTCAACATCAGGGGAGACCATTTGACTGCGTCGAAAAACTTTAGGGGTTGAAAACAGTTGGCTTTCGACTGCTGTCTTCTCCAGAGGGGCTTTGAAAAGTCCCTCTTGGTTAGCACACAGGTCATCGTTATCATCAACGTGTCCTTCACCAAGAGAAGCTTGGGCTGTCAGTACCTCAAACCAGTTTGGATCCACTGGTCCCAGCTCTAAAATGATAAAAAAATATATATATTGTTTAGGCTAGGGCTGCAACTAACGACTATTTTCCTAATCGATCAATCTGTTGATTCTGCTTTTGATTAATATGAAGTAATAAAAAGATCCTTAAAGGAGATTTTTTTACACAATCAAACCAGGTGAAAACCAGGGGGGACCAGAGGAGTCGGATGAAGGAGTTTACCCTTCAAACAAGTTTGCCCAAGGCTCCGTCTTTCAGTGTTGTTGTGTCCTTGGGCAAGACACTTTACCCACATTGCCTACTGATGGTGGTCAGAGGGCCCATGTTACCAGTATACAGCAGCCTCCCTTCTGTCATCGAGCTCCAAAGCAGCTGTGACTACAATGTAGCTTGCCACCATGAGTGTATGAATGTGTGAATGACTGAATGTAGTGTAAAGCATTTTGGTCAAGTCTTCTGACTTGAAAAGGCGCTATACAAGTACAGGGCATTTACCATTTACCATGGGTGAAACCAAAACTTTTCCATTTAAGGAGTTCTGGGTAGAGCATATTAACGGACACATTTTTTATTTTAAATTAAAAATATTTTGTCTTATTTTTGCATAATTACTGCTCTAAGTAGGTTTCTCCATCAGCTTAAGACATGTTTTACAGTCTCTATACTCCAGTTAATGATTAATCAATTACTAAATGAGCTGACGATTATTTCAATAATCAATTAATACTGATTAATCCGATTAATTGTTTCAGTCCTAGTTTAGACATAACTTTTGGGATCTGTCACATAAAGCATACTGCAGTGATTGTGCTACATCAGTTTAAATAAAAGTAGACCATGTATGATGACAATTTTCTGACCGATCATTAGTGATTCACATTATTACACAAAAGTGCCCTTCGATATATAAGAATTAGGAATTTAATTTAACAGCCAAAAAAAAAAAAAAAACATTATTATTGGCCTGCATCTAAGCTCACCAACATCAAACAGAAACACTATCTGCAACTTATTGGTTAGCAATAAAAGGGTCAGCTGTCCTCGTACCCGTTGTTGTTTACTATTGTTCTCGGAGTTATATTGTTTGACCAAGCCTTGTCTAACATTCTTCAAAACCAAATAAGTTTTTAAAGTCAGTATAATTTTCGATGATATCATATTGGGTCAAAATCAGTGTCAGTGCTTAGTCAACAGCTGTAATATCGGCATCATATCAGAAATGTAAAAGTTGCATCCACACACCCCTAACTAAAATATCAAAAACATGTAATTGTATGAAATATGTTTTTCATGTGAGCAGTTTCATTCAAATAAGGTTTATATAGATTAAATACAAATCATAACAACTTAAGTAGTGCTGAAACAATTGGGTTAATCAATTATTGAACTAATCATCATCTAATTCAGTAATTGATTAATCGTTAGCTGGAGTAAAGAGACTGTAAAACATGTCTTTAGCTGATAGAGCAAGCCACTTGGGGCAGCAATTACATCAAGATTGTAAAAAAACATATAAACATTATGCATTTAAGAAATAAAAAAAAATTATATATATTGTGTCAGCTCCATCCAGTACTCCTTAAGTGGCAAAGTTTGAGTTTCACCTGGTTTCATTTGTAAAAAAAATATTCAAGGAATCTTTTGCAGTCGAAAAATTACTTTTGTTAGATGCAGCCCTAAATTTGGGCAATAATTTCTGTTCATTTTGATCATTATAGCTGAAAACTAATAAAAAAACGCACATGTTCCCTTTTAAGATGATTAAAATATCAAATTCGTCTATGCTGACAAACTTTATGTGAATTGCTTATTAAATTTCTATCAATTGACAGCACTGCTAAAGGGGGTAATGCTTCAATGACTGTGGAATCACAGTGCTTAATTGGCCAGCAAACTCACACCCCCACAAAGAATCTGGAGAATTATGGATGGAGAAGGATGACCAAACCCAGGCCAAACAATGCAGAGGAAATAACGACCACTATAACAGCAACTTAGGTGTATTGTACATGAAGAACAATTGACTATATTTTTATAAATGGCTTAAAAAAATATGTACACTGCACTAATAAAGACACTGTGACGCTTATGTCGGGCCCTTTGGTTGCGGACTTACACAGAATCACTCCCAAACTACAATCCACTCTGTGACCCATATATATATTGTTACTCATGTTTTTTTTGTTTTTTTTTGTGGTTTTCATCAGAAGTCTGCTATTTACTAACCCCAAAGTCACAGGATCTATACCTAGACCTAAAGCCACAAGAATTAAATCTAAAGAAGTCTATGGTCAAATACAGAATATGGTGCAACAACAGCGGTCCCTGATTTTTCCACTCTGGGAGCCTGTTTCCAAAACGATTGTTTATGCTCTTCCAAAACACAGTCCTTGTCTACATGCAACACGATTTCATGTAAGCTGGTCTACGTGTGGATAAGGGATGTTATCAGATCTAAAGGCTGACTGCCTCCATGTCTCACTGCATTGATGCAGTAATTACTGCATGAAGATGGACATGCATTTTAGCAAGATTACTTTTATTTTTTGAGCTAGTACTGGTCACTGGCCAGAAATATGAAAAAGAAATATGCAAAAAAAAACTCTTAACATGAATTGTTTCTGGTTCAAAGAATGATTTATAATAATAATAATAACACATTTCTGTATCAAACATACTTTTAAAATTGGTCTTATGTAAAATGCTGTTTTGTCATGGAAGCAGAGGCTCAGACACCACTTCCCCCCCAGATGGGCTGCACTGAAACTGAAATCTTCCCTCTATGGACTGCTGCTCCAGGCTGGGTCACAAATAAAGATTATTTGATGGACTCATCTGAATAGTTGTAAGATATGAAAATAAAACCATCAAAAATTTTGATGGTTTTAAATTAACATGCCAAGAATAAAAATTGAGTAAATGATTTTATCCAGAAGAATTTGAGTTTTAAATTGAATTAAGGAAAGAAATTAACTTTCCAACAGCATTTTAATTTGGCAGCTGGCAGCCCCTGGCAGCTCAGAGCGGGACAGAAAGAGACTGAATAAGCTGGTGAGGAAGGACATTTCTGTCCTGGGCTGCCCTCTGGATTTGGTGGAGGAAGTGGCTGAGAGGAGGATGCTTTCCAAACTCACATCCATCATGGACAACACCTCTCACCCCCTGCACCAGACTGTAGAGGGGCTGAGCAGCTCCTTTAGTCAGGGAATTAGACACCCTGTCTGTAAAAAGGAGCGCTACCGCAGGTCATTCATCCCTGCTGCCACCAGACTCTATAATAGTGCACTATAACCACAAAAACTCCTGTAAAAACCACTGTGCAGCTATATTATAGTTTCTTATTTACTGACTGTGCAATATTCTGAATGTGCAATATATGTGAATAGAATAGTCATACCACTACCTCACCGTTGTTCCTTACCTACTACACTTTAACGTAAAAGTAAATCCACCTGTATATAAGCCATCCGGATTGTACATATGTCACCTCAAACCTCTGTGCTAGTACCTTGTATTTTTTTTATTTTTTATCTCTTATTTTTATTTGTTTTTCATTGTGTGCGATACACTTGCACCTTAATCCTTATTTATCTTGATATACTGTAATAACCTGGATATACTGTAAATATATTGTTTATTCTTAATGCACCTTTTTCCTCCTTGTATGCACCTTCTTTAATTACTATGCCAATATGTGACGTGTGAATTTATCCGCTGTGAGATCAATAAAGCTCATCCAATCTAATCCAATTTAAGAAGCGCCGCATATAAAGCATGGAAAAATGTGATAAATATGATGTACTTACACCTATCTGTTTAATCTTGAATGTTGATATAACTTACCTTTCCAAATGTCATCTTTAAATGCGTCAAACATGTTTTTTATGGATGAATCCATTCCACGGAAGCCAAATAACGATTAAAGTTTGTTGTACAGCCCACCTGGGAAGGTAAGAAGAAATAGAAGGAGAAATAAACCACTCCATTGCCAAAAAATAAAAAATAACGTGGTCAGTCAAAACTTCGAAACTTACCATGACGAACTGTTGTTGTGTTACAGTAAAAATCTAAACCAAACGTTCACAACAGCTCGATAAAAGTCAAAGAAAACCAACAGAAAACTATCAGCAGACTGCTTGCTAGCTGTTACGTAGTTTCTTCAGCTAAACACAAAACTCGCGCGCCTCATTCCGGATGTGACGTATGTTTTAGCGTAAGCATCCGCTTGCAACGCTGATCTTTCCGAAAAAACTGAAGTCACCTGCCGCCATCTTGGTACTCCCCACTTTCACGGAGTAGCGCCTGAAATAAGCATATAATGTAATGTAATTACCATAACAATCTAACCAAAACATGTATATTACATGTACGTCATCAATTTAGCACTTTTGGCACATCATCAGATAGTGTGTTTGTGTAATATTCTTCATATAACACATAACCAGTTAATGTTATAATACTACAGTATTATTATGCATCAGTTTTGGTGGGATGGATTTGTATAATATGTTATATTACATGATTTATAGACTTCATACTGAATATGTAATATGATGTGCCTATTTTTTACCATAAATTATAGTAGTTTATAGATGCTAAGAAACACCATGTGTGTGTCAAAGTGATGACTTTATCTTTATTTTAAAAGCCTTAAGCCCCCCTGAAAATGAGAATCATCATTGTTCGATGCTGTTGTGCACGTATTGTTTACGTTCTGTTTGGTCTAACTAGGGAGTACCAATATGGCGGCTAGTATCAGGCCTATCAGCAGGCCAGTTAATAGATAGAGATCAGTGGTAAACACAGAAGTGGTTTCTAATTAAAGATTAGATTAAAATACAGCTTTTATATGGGGAGTATATATATATATATATATATATATATATACTCATAAATATATACAGAAATACCAAGGGCTGAAAGAGGAGCTAGAAAAGATGTGGGAAGTAAGAACAGCAGTGGTGCCAGTGGTAATTGGAGCACTGGGGGCTGTGACCCCCAAACTGGGAGAGTGGCTACAGCAGATTCCAGGTAAAACATCAGAGGTCTCTGTCCAGAAGAGCGCAGTCCTAGGAACAGCTAAGATACTGCGCGGAACCCTCAAACTCCCAGGCCTCTGGTAGAGGACCCGAGCTTGAGGATGACACATACCACCCCACGAGGGGTGAGAAAACAGTTTTTTTTTTATTTTATATATTGTATATATATATATATCCTGAGTTCAAGCCCCACTCCCACATAATCCACTCTGGCTCCCTGAGCAAAGACCCTTAACCCCACACTGCTCCCCGGGCGCCGCATAACGAATGCCCACTGCTCCCAAAGGGATGGGTCAAATGAAGAGAGTTAATTTTGTTGCGCTGTACTTGTGACAGTGTTATCACAATAATAAAAAAAGTCAAATTTTTAAAACCATTATTAAATGCAGAAAAATGTTGAGCCTATAATACTATTTACTGTGGATGCTTTTATTATGAGAACAACACAAACTGTTTATTCTATTAATGGGATTTAAAAAGTGAAGACAGATTAATTAGAAACATGCTATTTTAAAGGAAGCTGTATTTGCTCCACCATGTTGAGATATGGCTGTGGTTTCATTGTGTCTGCGCGATAAATCATGGCTTAGGTGACAGGTTGAACAGATTACATCAAATTTGCTCTTATCATTTTGAGCTTTCACCTCCTCTCCTACAGCACTTTGGATTTGGAAAAATTGGGAGCCTCTTTGAAACCTCACAGTGTTCAAAATAAATCATAATTGAACTCATACAGTATTAAGAAAATCTTGTTTACAGCAGTTGTTGTGCTAACTGGGGTCTAGAGAATAGTACAATCTCTAATCATGCTAAAGATATTACTGTAAATAAAATGATAATTCACTATCAACAACTGATTATCAGAAATTGTGAAATTCATTCAACTAATCCATTGAAGGCTAATCCATCTCAGGTTATGTCAAGCCATTTTCTGAAAAAAGAAAAAAAAAAGCCTTTAAGATTGAATTATTTTAAAGTAAAAAGTCTTTTTAGGCTTTAAAGATGATACAAATTTCACCTCAAACATTTTTTCTTGGGGCTTAGATTCAGCTTTCCTCTGCTAACAGTTACAAGAGATCTATGTAGTCTAAAAGCTTTTTTCTGTTGGGATCCTCAGGCTTGCCCACCAGAGGGCGCCGAGGATCCTCTTCTGCTCTCTTTGTTTTTCCCTTAGGTTTGGAGTTACTGTGGGGATCTGGAGATTACCCTCTGTCTCCAGCAGGATGCGCTGTGGGTCTTCTGGAGCTGGAACTTTCCTGCTCACCTGTTCCTAATCCTCTCATTAGAAGACCTCTCCTTTATAAGCTCCTGCCTGACCTTGATCCCACACTGCAGTGTTGATCTTAGTTGGTTAGCTTCCTGAACCTTCTGCTATCCCTTAGCAAAAAGCAGTATACTTTAAGTAAATTATATTAAGTATACTTAAGTATAAGTATACGTTTAGAAAGTATACTCGGGCTATGTACTTTTTAGTGCACTTGAAGTATACTATTTTAATACTTCTTCGAACTAAATTGGGACATTTTTAAGTTTACAAAAGTATACTGATAGTATACTGTTCCAAGATCATTTTAAGTTTACAAAAGTATACTGATAGTATACTGTTCCAAGATCATTTTAAGTTTACAAAAGTATACTGATAGTACTGTTCCAAGATCATTTTAAGTTTACAAAAGTATACTGATAGTATACTGTTCCAAGATCATTTTAAGTTTACTAAAGTATACATTAAATTATTAAGCAAGTACACTAATCTATATACTAGAAGTTTACAAAGTATACTTGTGGTTCACATTTTAGTTTGTTGAAGTATATTTAAAATATACCACCAGTATACTCTTCAATATCCTGCCAATATAATAGTTATATACTGCTAGTCCATATTTTACACATTCAAGATTTACTGAAACTAAAATACTATTTTTGCTATTTTAATTTGTATAAGTATACTTAAGTTCACTGACCATATTGTAGCACATCAGATATCATATCCTTACAGTTACCCCATAATGTAGTTATAATGCAATATGTTTATACAATTACAAGACAGTATCTTGATAACTTTGGTTTATTTATATAACATATAGGTTTTTTTTTCTAAATGCCATCTTAAACTATTACAGACTGCATTTCAAAATAACAAAGCTTCTCTTAAATCAAACCGTTCTTAGGTTTCAATATTAAAATAAAAATGTAAACACATTTACATATGAAAATGTAAAAACAATGAAGTCATTCTTTGTCAAAAATTAAAAACTGCAATTGACATCAAAAATCTAAACAAAAGTGTGTTCCAGATAAGGACTGAATAAGAACTGAGAACTGAAGTCCTTGGTTTTCAAAAGAAGCTTAGAAAAGTGCACATTTTCGGAACAAAATATCTTCAAAGAAACAATATTTTTATGACTTTTCATCTAGTTGCTTTCAATAGCTTAAATTGTTGCATTTCTTTCTAATGATCCTCCTGACATCTTGCATGGCGGTGTCGGGGAACTTCGCCTGGGCATAGGCTGTGAGTACAAAAACAAATATACAAACAAAACATTACTTATTGGTAAATTTCTTTACTATCCACATCTAACACACATGTCAAACAGCCATAAAAGAATGTTTTTTCACGTATATGTTTGGAACTTAAATATAATCTATAATATACAGAAACTGCAAAGAAGAAAGATGTTGTTAACAAAGTTCAATTCAGCTTATTTATATAGCGCCAATTCAAAAGCGAAGTTATCTCAAGGCACTTTACAAAGACAATTTAATCATATCATACAGACCAATTGTTAAATATTTTTTATCCCCTGATAGCATTCAGTGATGGACTTTGTAGTATTCACTCCTCCAGAAAGTCCAGAATACCATTTTTCACAGATTCTGAAACTAGTGCCTCTCAAGTGCAGACTCAGGGTCAATCAGAATATCTGAAATTGGTAAGGCCCTATAGTCACACAATATTATAGGTAAGTCAAAATGGTTTAGCACTTGTTGACATAAATACTGTCAAACACGTTTCTTCCTTTTTAATAGCAGCAGGTTTCCTTTCATGCTTGCTCAGTATGAGGGATTGCTGCAAAGCCATGGACAATGCAGACGACTCCCTGTGGCTCTACGCTTCTTCAGGAGTGATGCTGCTTGGAGAGACTTTGATGCAATCAACTGGTTCCCTTATTTAGGAATGTTTTTTTTTTTACCAATCTGTATAATCTGACCCAATCTGTATAATCTGATTCATTTTTTTTAAAGTACCTTGAGATGACATGTTTCATGAATTGCCACTATATAAATAAAATTGAATTGAATTGAGTTGAGTGTGATGTGCTTTGATCCCTCATAAGTCTCCATCAAAAATGGCCCTTGTTTGGTTTAAAATATGGCGCACACACTTTCTCGATTGTAGCATCAGTAAATAACTGATATGCCTCATGGCCTCTTAAAAAAAGAAAAATGTGCATTTACCTGAAATACTTAAGCTTTGTAAAACAGAAAAGGCCAGGATGGAATAAACACACTGTGAAACAGCCTACTGTAACTCTACTGGTATTAAAACTAATATTAACTGAATTAATATATCATCACCAATATTACAGAACACCAAACAATACAGTCATTTGCTCATAAAAGAAGGAGAAAACAGCACGTATGAATTTTTTTTAAGGACGGTTTTTGTCCTAAATTACACGCACTTACCAAGTATAGCGTCAAGTTTTGTGTTGTCCAGTTGTGGCTTCGACTCCACATTTTTGTGAGCTCCTGACTGCCTCCCAGTCAAACTTGAGTTGGCCAGTGTTTCTCGACCATAGACGAGCACCGCCAGATCCCCAATGTACAGTGCTGAACTTGTAGTACGCACTGACTTCAACTTCTGACTTGGGACTTTGACATCATACCCTGGCAAAAGGGGCACCTGCGAAGATTTGAATGTTATTCACCAAATAATTATTGTGAAATTGCTTAAAATGTTTGGTCATCTACTGTATCTATTTGACAGTAGTAGAAAACTTATCCAAAACAAACAAATTGTGAATCCATGAAAATATCATTAAATTTAAGACAGCTCCATTGAACAAACATTTAAAGAAATTAAAGGTAGTTTAACTGAAGATAAGTGGTATATAGAGTATAATAAACCATGTGGACAGTTAATAAACCGGAAAATTGTACACCAAACACTTTCATATATGTGTCAGGAACATATAGTATCCATGCATTTTGAGGTAAATACCATATCATTATGGTCAGGCACAACTTGGGGAGAGATGGGTAGAGAAACTGGTGGCTCTACAGATGTTGTTGACAATGGTTGTTGATTGGTGATTCTTTCAACCACATCTTTCAGCTGTGTCACCACTGCTGGAAGCTCTAAAAACAAATGAAAACAAGGGAGGAAACATGGAAACAAAAGCTTAGTGTCATTAGTATTGATACCATTTTAGAAAATTGAATTGGTCATTTGTGTTATGAAGAGTGGGATAAAGGCTGGGGTGATTAATGGGGCTTTCTGAAAGGAAGCAACGTTCATACCGCTGTGCAGTGTGAACCTTTGACTGCAGCATGTGCTGCAGTCAAAGTTAAGCATATTAAAAAGTCAGAAGGAGAGGTGGGAACACCAGAGAGCAAAACACAAAAGGTAGTGCTGTGTATTGACAGAAAACTGGTGAACTAAGGCAAGCCTGAAACTGCTGTTTAAGAGACTGAACTCCCAGAGCCGCTCCACAAACCTGAGGGTTTCCTTGACCCACAGCTTCTTCTTCCTTTCTGCCATTTTTCTCTGAACCAGCAGGGCTAGTGCTAGCGCTAGATTCTTAGCACAGGAGATAGATGCATATTTTTCTTTATTTCATATATTGCAAGGTGTATCGGATCTGCTTTAAAATTTAAGTAGAAGACTGAAGCTAGATTAGGGTCCTTTTCCTTATTTGGCTTAAAAAACTGTGTTTAACAATTTGCTTTGCTTGAATTGAATTATAAATAAATACCTCTCATGGCATCTAGGATGTCTTTCACATGGGCTTCTTTCAGGCTCTTGTTCTCTCTCTGGAGCTTTTTAAGTCTCTGCTGTGCCACACTCCAGTTTCTGGGAAGCTGCTCCTCATCTGATGACTCCTCATTTGAGTTACCTACAGCATTCTAAATTGCAGTAAATTTCACACCATAGCAATTACACTAGCTTAAATTACACCAATTAAAATACAGTCAAAAATTTTACCTCTGAATTTATTTTTTTGGCCAACTTCTTCTTCAGCTCCTCTATCATTTGGTTTGCTGAGTCTTTTTCTGGGGCGGTTGCTTTCTTCATTTTCTGTGACAATTTTAATTCAGTTCTGTATTGTTATAACGGGTTATAACAATACAATACAATACGGTCTAGCATCACAATTAATGATGATTTACTCTAGTTACCGATGGATCACAACAAGATTTCAAAATGTATGAATACATTTTAACAATCCAATAGAAATGTTACTTTTCTTCTGAATTACAATAGACTCGTCTTATGCTGAGTTATTTATGCGGGCAGCTACCTTTTTTGTTTGACCTTCATGGTCCTCCTCTTCAAAATCTTTCCATTTGCTGTTTGGTTTACTCTTCCGCTTGGGGGCTTCTTGCCAGATGTCTTCACCATTTATGAATTTTTGTCTCTTCTTGCAGAGGTCACTGTAGTTGTCTGTGTAAGAGACGTGGTCCAGTTAAAAACAGAGATTTTAAAGTGCATTGAGATGACGTGTTGTGAATTATCTATACTAAATAAACTATTAAAACATGAAAAAATTAAGTTGCAATATTAAATCATATTCAGCAAATTGTAATACACGTTCTGTTAATTTAGTGTGTCATTCCTATTATCCTGTGTCTTTTAAGGCCCACTCCTGAAACATGCTACATTTTGTGTTGTGGTGGCCTGATATTTTTTTATTCTTTTAATCCCATCAGAAACTTATGACTCGCTTGATCAAAATTATGTGCACATAAAAGGATATATTTTTTGAGTGCAACATGGTTTAAATACCATGTCACCAGGGGCGGCTCTAGACAGGGGGTAACAGGGGCCAGTGCCCCTATAGAAATGGTCCTGGCCCCTTTTAGGGCCCCTGTATTAAGGACAACACATTTAATACACTTCTTATTATATGCACATAACTGCTTGGTCATTTTGACCAATCTAAGTTTTTTACCTGTACAGTTTTACAACAAGGTTTTAAAAATTAAAGTGTTTCAGTAGTTTCTGTAGTTCCAGAGCCACAAGTGGCTCCCCTTAATATTATTAGACAATTAAATATTGCCCTGTTTTATTGTTTACCTGTTTATTCTGTGCCCCTATGAAAAAACACTGGCCCCACCTTGGCCCCCCTGGTAAATTTCGTCTAGAACCACCACTGCATGTCACCTTATAATTTCTTTGCAAAATCAAGTTAGGACTATAATAAAAATACATAATGTAATTTAAAAAATACTTATAAAAATTACAGTTCATAGTAGTCCTCAACCAATTCTTTCAACGTTATTGTTAATTGCCTACATATGAACTAACCTCCTAAAAAAATGTTGAATAATGTATCTTTTTGCTAGCTTGTAGGTTATCTTTAAAAAAAAAAAAAAAAAAAAAAAAAAAAAGCAGCATAACTGGGCATTGCAAAGCGAACTAATAAATGAATATAGATAACTATAGGAAGTAAAAATTAAGCTTACCATCAAACATTAAAACCTTGGCAGGAAAAAAGGTTTGACCGTTGGACTTTTTTCTGCCTTTGACGTCCCACTTTACCTCCATCCATCCATCTTCATCTTCTAGATTAGGGCACTCAGTTATTATTTTAGGACATTGTTGCTGATCAATAGGACTTATCCATGACGTTTTCCCAACTTCCACAGTCTTGTCTTTAAAATAATAAAGGGCAAATTCCATCTCTGTATCATGAAAATACGTTCTGGGAATAGGAGCTTTTTTCCCCTTTTTTGGGGGGGAGAAAAGGGTTAACGCAGCGATGAGCGGGAATTTGCTATCGGGCTTCCTATTGGCTGCCTGGTAGAGAGGCGGGAACATGGGCGGAAACGGACAAGGTCAGGTGACGTCAGGAGGGGTAGAGAGAAGAAAACCTCTTGTGAATGAGCCCATTAGAGCTATGGCAAAACGTCGTGGACCTTATCAAAGATATTTGGAGGATTATACAGCAGATGTCCCAAGGAGTACCAAGCACAGATGGAAAGTAAAAGTAAGTAAGAGATAAGGAATTCAGACTACTATGATTTCAATGTCAAAGTTCAAAACAGCTAGCTAGCTCTCCTAGTCATTGTGGCTAGCATTCCATGCTAGCATTCCATGCTAGCCACCATGGTGAATGCCTGGTAAATTCTTATATATATATATATATATATATATATATATATATATATATATATATATATATATATATCTCTTCAACATCGCGTGGAGGTCGGGGACAGTTCCCCTGGATTGGCAGACTGGGGTGGTGGTTCCCCTCCACAAGAAGGGGGACCGGAGGGTGTGTTCCAACTATCGGGGAATCACACTCCTCAGCCTCCCCGGAAAGGCCTATGCCAGGGTGCTGGAGAGGAGAGTCCGGCTGATTGTCGAACCTCGGCTGCAGGAGGAGCAGTGTGGTTTTCGTCCTGGCCGTGGAACGGTGGACCAGCTCTACACCCTCTGTAGGGTGCTTGAGGGTTCATGGGAGTTTGCCCAACCAGTCCACATGTAATTCATTTAGGTATTCATTATTTATGTTTTCAATCTGTAGAATACTGGCTGTAATGTTGACAGCAACACAGACGATCCCATGAGTAACACTTTGACTGATGGAGAGGAAGAACCCAGCAGTTCCAGCAATGAGGACGAACTCAATAATGACAACTCTTCCACAACTACCATGATTGATATAATACAAAAGGTACACTTCTAATTACAGTTTTAGCCTTATTGGGATTTTTTGTTTGCTCTTTTAGTGGATAGGGTAATGCACTAGGCCAATTTCATCATCAGAGTAATACTCTTCAGGGGGTTCTAATTACACCCTCAATTTGTCAATGGTACACACATTTCACAGTAAAAGCAGTTTGCTGTAGTAGCTGACCTATCCTTTAGCCTAACCCAGCAAAAATCAACAGCACACTAGCTGCACAAATCCAAACATTCTTATAAAAATATATTTTCAACTCTGTTTCTTTTGTTCATATGTAGAATGATAACAAAATGAACACAGAAGAACACTGTATGGACACTTCCACTAGTGAAGGGGAAGATGAGGAACTCAGTACTGAGAGCATGACCACATGCATTTTGGATGTACACATTCCAGAGGTAAATTAACTTTTGTATGTGGTAGTTTATATATGTGTTCTATATATAAATGCCTTCTCTTTTAAATTAATTTCTTCAACTACTCCTTTTTTTCTTTGTTAACCTGTAGAATGAAGAAGCTGTGTCATATTCTGAAGACAACTTGACTGATACGTCTAGTAATCAAGGTGAAAACCATGCTGATGATGAAGACATGATGGAGGGGAATAATGCTGGAGAAAAGACACCCAAACTTAAAGCGGTATGTAGAAAGTAGTTTGAAAACATAGTGCTAGTAGTAGTAGGGCTGTTACAAAAAAATTAAAACCTTTGGACACAATACATAATAATGATAAAGAAGGGAGTTACTTTCAAAACTAAGCATTAATTGTTTTTCAATTTTGCTATAGGTAAAATGCTTTATGCTAGATGGAGATTACTGCTCAAGTTTGCTGCTGTTCATTTTCATTCATACATATTTTCTCTTTTCCTTGTATCTATAGGGCTCTGAAGACCAAGCAGATGGTGACAACCCCCTATATCCTGGTGCATCTATTTCAAAGGGAGAAAGTCTACTGATGCTAATGTCTTATGTGCTGCGACACAACTTAACTGGCAAGGCAGTTACTCACTTACTGGAAATGTTTAACCTAATGTTTCCAGGTCTGATTCCATCCTCACACTACCTTTTCCACAAAGAATTTAAAGGTTCATCTCAATCTGAAATTCACTTTTATTGTGAAAAATGCCTTGCATACCTTGGCAATAGTGCACACTGTAACTCTCAGTGTACCCTTTGCAACAAAGCGTTTGATGCCAACAGAAGTTTAAAAAATGGCTTCTACTTTCTGGTAATTCCCCTTCATGCACAGATTAAACAACTTCTGCAAGAACTTGATGTAAGCCTTACAGATAAAACTAGGTCCTCTGGTGTTTTAACTGACATACAGTCTGGTGAAGAGTATCAGAAATTGGTGGCCAATGAAGTTCTTGGAAAAGATGATTTGACTCTGATTTGGAATTGTGATGGTGCACCAGTGTTCAAAAGCTCAAAATGCAGCATTTGGCCAATTCAGTCCCAGATAATTGAACTGGAACCTGAAGAAAGAAAACGGCACATTTTGATGTCAGCATTATGGTTTGGGCCAGCTAAACCATCAATGATTACTTTGCTGACACCATTTGTTGAAGAAGCTGCAAAATTAGAGGCTGATGGTATTGCCTGGCAAGACAGAAAGGGACACAGTCATGTTTCCAAAGTGTTTGTGCTGATTTGTTCCTCTGATTCTGTGGCTCGTCCATTGCTTCGCAACACTAAACAGTTCAACGGCTTTTACGGCTGTGATTTTTGCTTGCACAAAGGAGGTAAGACGTATCCATATGAACAACCTGAACCCCCACTTAGAAATGAGAGGGATCATTACAGTCATGCAATGTCAGGTACAACTGATGAGCCAGTGTGTGGTGTCAAGGGGCCATCTCCTTTAATGCAGCTTCAACATTTCCAAATGATAAATGGCTTCATTCCTGACTACCAGCACAATGTGTGCCTTGGAATCACTCGGCAGCTCTCTACACTTTGGTTTGATTCATCAAACAAAGATTCACCCTGGTTCATAGGTAAAGAGATTAATGAAGTTGACAGGCGACTTGCAAAAATAAAACCACCTGTTGAAATTACAAGGACAACAAGATCACTGTCTGAACGGAAGTTCTGGAAAGCTTCAGAGTGGCGTGCATTCCTCCTTTTCTATTCTCTACCTGTATTGAAAGGCATACTCCCTGCAAGATTTTGGAACCATCTGTTCCTACTTGTGTTTGGCATATATACACTATTGCAGCATACTATAAAGACTGAAAGCATTTTGGTCGCCGAGCTAGCTCTAAAAAAATTTGTGATTGTGTTCCAAAGACTGTATGGAAAAAATAACATGACTTTTAATATCCATTTGCTAACACACACTGCTCACAGTGTAAAACAATGGGGGCCATTGTGGGCTACATCAACGTTTTCATTTGAATCAAATATGGGCACACTCAAGAAGTATTTTAATGGAACACAGTATGTCCCCTCACAAATAGTCAGAACATTTCTGTTGTGGAGAGAATTACCAGAAAGGGCCAAGAACACTATCCCTCCAGAAAATGAAAAGGTTCGATCTTTTTTTGAGGAACTTTACTTTAACAAAAGAAAAACTGAAAGTTGTAAAGTACTAACTGAAAGTGTTAGGGGTTTTGGTAATCCAACAATGCAAAAATCTATCAAAATTTCGTATAGGCTTGCAATTGCAAAGTTGTGTGGAAATCTAAGCAACTGCTTCTGGTCTTTCAACCGTTTTTTGGTCAATGGAGTTCTGTATCATAGTCAAAAGTATGACAAATTGAAAAAGAGATACAACAGTGCTGTATGCTTAAAAGACGGAACACTTTGTTTAACAAATGACTTGGTTATTTTTAAACAAAAATGTTCACATGAAATTTCTGCTTTGTGTTCTTGTACCAAAATGTGTTGTGTTTTAGTTGAAGTACTTGCTAAATTAGACAGACCTGTATGTAAAGATTCACAGATCAACATACAAAGTACTTTCTTATTTGAGGTTAAAAAAACTGAAACTGTTAACGCTGTGTGGCCTGACATGCTTCTAACCAAATGTGTTCTTGTTGAAAGAGATGATGCTTTGTACATAACACCATTGCCAAATGCTTTTGAGAGAGACTAGAACTTGACCAATAAAGTCAGTCAAATGTTTCTCTGTGTCTGTGTATATTTTAAGTTACACAAAGATAAATAAATTACATACAAATCAATATACTGTAAACTTTTAAACACCAGCACTATATGATCTTGAATATGAAAGTTTAAAACAGGGTTAATGCCTGAAAACAAGTGTAGTAAAAATACAAATATAAGCATGAGTCACGTACTTTATCTTTCATTGTTTACTGGATCAGCACATGTATTAGTACTTTGTGGCAGAAATAAGAAAAAAAGCAATATACCATAATACAAGTACAAGATTCAGTATTAAAGTATAGGCATTGTATTGATTTACTTACCCGTAGACTTCTTTTTATACTTATCAGTATAAGTCAAGTACACTTGACTATACTATTGTAAAGTATATGAAATATAGTTTAGAAAAAGTAAACTTTAAGTACACTGCCGGATTTTAAGTATGAAATTAGTGCACTTTTAGTATACTTGAATAAACCTCTTTTTGATAAGGGATAGACTGAGTCTTGGTTGTTCCTAGGTTGAGACCAGATTCTAATCTCTCCTTTTCTGTGCCTCTCAGGAATCCTGTCCCCTCGTGAAGCTCTGGATGAGCTTAAACCCCAGTCTCCTCGTGAAAGCTCAGGATGAGCTTAACCTCCTGTCTCTTCGTGAAAGCTCTGGATGAGCTTAACCTCCTGTCTCCTTGTGAAGCTCTGGGAGAGCACCCTCACTGGAACCCTGTCTCTGGTCTGCAGCTCTGGGAGAGCTGTATCACAGGAAACCAGTCTCAAGTCAGAAGCTCTTGGAAAGCCCAACCTGCTAACCCGCCCTGTTGAGCCAACCCGAGGATCCCTACGTGGTTTGAACTTGAAGACTTCTTTGAGGAGTTTCCCTAGAGGTTCCCATGTGGACTATTCCCTGTTGTTCTCTGTTATCCAGCCATCCCCCGCTCCCTGCACAGACTCCAGTGAACCAGCCCCAGACCCTTTTCAGTCCCAGTGTTAAACTTTGTGATTTTGGACTTTATTAAACATTTTGAACTTTTCCCCTGCCTCCTCCGTGTGTGTTCTGCATCTTGGGCTTGCCTCCGTTAACCCATCATGACATTTTCTTCCACAAATGGCAATAGGAGCCTTTAGCTAACAAATGTATATTTTATTGTTACATAAGTTTACAGAAAACAAAAAGTAATTGACTAAACAGACAGTATATACAGGGAAAAAGGGCTCAACAGAAATTTTGGAATCTTTATGAATATGTAAATACCAATTTTTTGTGCAACTTAAAATTCGCCTTCATAAAAATACAATCTAACATACAAAGTCCCAATTTCTCTATTTACAAATTAACCGTCAGTCAAAATATTTCTAGATATATACACTTCCAGGCAAAAGTTTGGACATATTTTACACATTCCCACTGAACGACAATGTAATAGAACTGAATTTACATAACATGCAAAGCACTGAGCAACCACATCTACCTAATCAAGCTCACTAACGGGCACACATTCATACACACATATGCAAATTTCTGGCGGCTTGAGGTTAAGTGCCTTGCCTGAAGGAATGAAACCCTACAATATTCCAATTGCATTATGTCAACTGTACCGACTGAGCCACATTTGCCTATACAGCAAGTTGTCCACAAACTTTTGACTGGTAGTGATGCTCATAGTATTTGTTTTATAGTGCATAAAATATGCAAGCTTGGCAGGAATAACCAGTTAAACAAAATATATATATTTCTATAAATCTAGATGATGAAAGCATATTTTCTCTTGCATGAAATATAAATAATAGACATATCTGAAAAATGCTACTCACTTAAAAGGTACAGTAAGATATTTGTAATAACAGATAACCCACATGGTAGCTGCAGGTTTGACATTACAGTAGACTGCACCAAGTCAGAGTACTTTAACACAAACCGCTCATACAAATCGGAATCAATAATTCCATCCGTGATCGTCGTCATAATTTAATTCACACACTCATGCTCAACCAATACGTTTGAGCACACATAAACACACAAAGGAATTAACACAATAAGATATTGACGCCTCCCTTTACCATCTTCTGACAGTGTTTTCCAATACATTCTTTCAGCAGACAGAGAGGTCTTCCACTTCAGTAAAGGATTGCACATTTTCCCTTGACAATTAAATTCACACAACTGGTACAGAATCCCTTCACTTTCGTATGCGATTGGTTAAATGGAACAGTTGTTTCTCCTAGTAGCAAATGTTTGCTGTTTAACAAATTGCATTATTTTGCAAGAATAGAACAAATGTGATACAACAGTTAAGTAAACCATTTTAAAATGTTATTGCTGCATGTCTAAAAATCACAAGATAATTTAGATTCTCAAAGAAAAAGGAAGGATCCAAGGTTTTGGTTATCTCTGCAAAAGGAGAAGAGAGTTTTTGTTAATGTCTGAAATAATAGCAGCTGCCTCAGACAAGGTAGTAAAGTTTGGGGTGATGCAGGGTTCCGCAAAAGTAGCACACCGCCATCAGAGAGTTGAGCCTGAAACCCTGGAGTCCGGGAGAAAGGCTGTAATAGCTTTGTAGCCTTGGGCTCGTTGGAGCATGTCCCGAGTCTCACAGTTGAGTTCCATTAGCCTGAGAGAAATTTCCGTCAGGTCCTGCTTTGAACCCACCAAAGCAAATGTTCCCGTCTGACCCAAGGTTTGGTGTCTGAAGTAAATGTTGAGTAAAGTTTGGATCTCATCCTCAGAGGGGCTGCCAAAGATGTCATTAGGCCACAATGTTCTGCAAAATAAAGGTATCATTGGATTTAGGTTAAAAATCCACAATATACATTCCTAATGGATGTGGAATCAAGTATTTTACTTATCCCACCTGCACTCCCGAATATAGGTAATTGATTTTAGAAACTCATTGCTCTTTAGGCTCTCAAGGATGGCCTGAACAGCAGCTTCAGAGGAGCTCATGATGGTCTCAGAGCAGGAAGTGTCAAATGTTGAAATATTATCATTTGTTGCTGAGACTGCTGCTTCCGTCAGGTTCCTCTTCAATTCATTAAGCTCTCTGGACATACTTGTGAGCTACAGAATGGGAGGGATTCATGTTAATTTAACACGAATAATCAACAAGAATTTGAATCTAAAAGAAAATGAAAGGGAAATAGACCTACCTCTGGAACTGAATTTATTGCATGGATCTGATCAATCAGCTTGCAATAAGACTGAAAAAGCAGCAACAACTGAAAATGGAGTTTGTAGAGTCTTTGACAGAGCTCCAATTGCTGGAAAGGAAATATTCTTTGATCAAAAACAAACTTCCGGCAGATTTTGCCTCAAGAATTTAGAGGGTAATTATGTTGCTGAAGGTGAAAATACATATGAAGAAAGCTTTGAGTAAACAGAGAAATTAAAGAAGCAGATTTCAAACTTACAGCCAGAGATTCCATTCGCTACCAAGCAAGCATAATAAAAGGCAGAAAATAAGAAAAAAAAGAGAAAAACAAGGCCATGCAATTAAGATTTGGAACTCAGCAAGAAGTATCTGAACAGTTAAGCATGCCTTGAAATAAGTATAAGATGAAATAAGAATAAGCAGTCACACCCTTCATATTTTCTTCCTTTCATTTTGCATTAAAATCACAAATGTAAATATATTTTACAGGAGTTTATGTGCTAAACCAACACAAAGTAATGCAACTGTGAAAAGGAAGGACATGTATTAGATTTTGTTTTTTTTTTACAAATAAAATCTTAAATGTTTTCACCTACATCTATAATAGGGACACATGGAAGAAAACAGCAATGCAAGTCACCCTGAAAACATAGTCCCTATATATGGTTGGTTGGCATCCATTGGTTAGAATGACTCAAAATCCAGTCCTAATCCATTTGAGACTTGAAAACTGATGTTTGCAGATGTTCTATTTTTTCCCCAAGACTGGGAGAGACATATACTAACCAAATTGCAGGTATACGTTAGTTTAGAAATGCATGCGAAAGGTTTTTATGCTTAAAAAGATACTTGTTGTCCCCACTTATGGGCTTCTTTGTGTTGGTCACATAAAACTATCAATAAAATGTACAAAACTTTAGGTTTATAAAAGGACAAAATATGAAACAGTTTAAGGGGTATGATTCCTTTTGACAATTACTGTATGTGCAAATGAGAATAAAAAAAGCACAGTTTTTATTATAAACTAAAGTAAAAAAAAAAAGCCAACAAAAAACTTAAAAAGCAAAAACTCTGTCACTTGAAAAATAAATGTTTTGAGAAATTTAGCACTGAAAGATTCAAATATTACTAGTTTAATAAAAGAGTTATAGCTGATTAATGGATTATTTGAAGAAGCATGCAGAGCAGAGATGACTGTGAACATAATGCACTCAACATAAAAGGTTATAAGCATGACATGTGCTGATTTAAGGCCGAAACAAAGTGGGTGACATAGAGAGGTAACACTCACAGAGCTACAGGAGCACACAGTAACCGTAATGCAGAAAGTACAGTATGAAAGAGCAGATGAACACAATCCAAGTTTTTTACATTTTCTTTGTGCAAAATTACTTTGCTTTTTGCTGAATACAAAACTGCCTGGGCTATGGCGAACAACATTATATATCTGTGTAAATTTTATATTTAAATTACTGGGACAGTGCCACAGTAAAAAATATTTTACCTTTTCCTCATGCTCTCCTGGTTGGCATTTGACTGGGACCCCAGCAGTCCTGGGGAAGGTGGCCTTACAGCTGTTTAACCACTGTGTGCAAAAAATGCAACTTTATTGAGACTTATAAAGTATGATAACATTTATAAGTCAAAGAACTGGAAACATCCCAGTGAAGACAGAATGCATAATGTATTAACTTACAGTGATTGCTGCCTCTTTTCTGTTGTTGTAAGTGTCAAGATATTCTTGAAGTTCCAGCACGCTAAATTTCATTTTTTCCAGAAATCCATAGGACATAATCTGTAAGAACAATTTAGCTGTTTATCTGTTTTTCAATCACTTTTAAGATATACATTGAGAAAAAAAATGCTACAACTT